CATCGTAGAAAGCTGTTAGATTGGTCAGGCATGATTTCCCCTTGGTGAATCCATGCTGACTACTCCTGATAACCTTCTTTTCTTCCACTTGCTTGATGATGGCCTCCAGGATAAGCTGCTCCATCACCTTTCCCGGGACGGAGGTGAGGCTTAGTGGCCTGTAGTTCCCTGGGTCCTCCTTCTTGCCCTTTTTGAAGATTGGAGTGACATTGGCCTTTCTCCAGTCCTCGGGCACCTCTCCTGTCCTCCAGGACCTCTCAAAGATGATGGAGAGTGGCTCAGCAATGACACCCGCCAGCTCCCTCAGCACTCGTGGGTGCATTCCATTGGGGCCCATGGATTTGTGGACGTCCAGATCGCTTAAGCGATCCCTCACACAGTCCTCCTCGACCAAGGGAAAGTCGTCCTCTTTGTAGGCTTCTTCTCTTACCTCCGGGGCCTGGGATTCCTGAGGGCCAGTCTTAGCACTGAAGACTGAAGCAAAGAAGGCATTCAGTAGCTCTGCCTTCTCCGCATCCTCCGTCACCAGGACACCCGTCTCATTCAGCAGCGCCCCCACATTGTCCCTAGCCTTTCTTTTGCTCCTGTTGGCATAGCTCCACATGCCTCAGTGGCTGAAACCGATGATGCAGACAGGGCTAAGGGAATGGTACGAGCTGACTGCTTGTAGCTCTCCAGACCCTCTATTCCCTACTCTTCATTAGTGCTGTATCACCATAATGAGCTCACAATCTTTGTTATAAACTAAGCTTGTTTTTAATGACTATTTTTACTAAGTAGCACCTTGCAAGGCTCTTGGAAGTGGTAGCAGTAACATGTTGCGTTTTTACTTTGTACTGCTAGCTTTTAGTGACATGCCAACACTTATCTACAGCTGTGAAGTTATAGGATTACATGCGTCCCTCTCATCCCCAAACGCCTCATTTAAAAACACATTGCTAAATACACAAATCCTCTCAGAAGTTAGCAATTCCATCATTTAGGTCTGCTTGTGCAAACAGGTATCATCTTCCTTGAGCACATGCATTACTTTGGTTATCTGATCAGATAGTATTCCTCATCTGAGACCTCTACCTCTGTGAAACACAGAGGAGACAATGCTGACTTAGAGAGCCAGTTACAAGCCTCATTTAACTCACCTTTTCTGAGCTTTGCTTTCATGACAGAAGCATGCATGTTTTCATGGGCTTTTCAATTTTCATTACTATAGTATCTCAGAGATCTCAGAGATTTTCAAAGCAAATCTGAGGTATTGTTATTAATCCCATCTTGTAAATGGGAAACTACATCCCAGAAAGATTAATTAAAAAAAAAAAAAATTGGAAACCCAATATCTAATAGCCCGGGTCTACCTCCAGTTTAATTTCATTTATTCAAAGGGCAGCCCACATTTGTGTGTGTAGCACTGGGAAGAAATCAGCATTTCTTCCTGTCACGTCCCAGTAGCTTACAGAGAAAATGTGGAACTAGTAAATTGAGCAACACTGTACAGGAACTCAACAGCAGAAGGAGGGAAAGAATCTAGTTCTCCAGACCTGCATTCACCTGCCTTTAAAAAAAGAATATCCTTTATCTCCTGTACTTTCTTATCCTCTTCAACTGTTGCAGCATACAAGGCAGGATTAGAACAGAGAACAGCCTCCATCACTTCATGACTTTATAGAACTTTCCCAAGCACCTACTTTCCAGAGTCAGTTTCTCTTCTGAGACCTACCTGGAAATGTAAAGGCTAAACAGCAGCCCTCCAGAGAGACTAAAGACAAGAGGCAGGAGTCAGAGCACATAGAAAATGTCTCCTCATCCCACCACTCTGCAAATGTGATGCACTCAGCACAAAACCAACAGAGGGACCCTGGAAGACAGGAAGCCTGCAGCGTGTTTTCAACTTCAGAACAAAGGAATGACCAATTACTTCTGCCACTGCCATGCTTATACCACTATC